CAAGAAAGTCTCTTCTTTCCTGTTCTCTTTGAAAAAAAAGTCCAGTTCTTTTTCCATATTTTGTATAAATTCTTTATCTTGCAATATCACGTGGTTCAATGTCCATCTCAGTTTTCCTTTTTGTCCTTTCCATACAACTTTTAATGAATTGTGATCTGCCTAAACATTGGGTTCTATGACCTATCTTTCTAGACCAGGATTTATGCCTATTTGACTAGAATGAGTACTGATTTTTCTTGGAGTGCATTTCTCTCCATACATTTTGAGTTCCTATTTCTTCCATCATTTAAAAAAAGATTTTAGGGAGTGTTTTCCTAACCCTGTTGCCTGTTTTACTACTCTTATAGTCAAGTTCTGTATCTACAATTGCATTAAAGTCTCTTACCACACAAATATTTTCATATTCCAATTCTATAATTTTCTTATGAAGTTTTCCATAAAACTCATCTGGTTTATTATTAGGTGCATATATTGCTATCAACAACATCTGTTTTTGATTCATTATCTCCACCATCAATATTCTCTTTTCTTCATCTGCAAAGATTTGTCCAGCCTTCATTGTTTCTTTAATGTATAGAACCACCACCCCCCTTTTCTTTTGCTATGCAGGTGAAAAATATAGTTTCCCAATTTTGGGGTACTCTAATAGTTTACTATATTGATTTTTAATGTGAACTCTTAGAGACTGATTAAATCTAGTTTTAATTTTTCTAATTTATTAAAAATTCTTTTTCTTTTCATAGATGAGTTCAATCCATTTATGTTGATTGATAATAGTTTTGTTTCTTCTTCCATTGTTTACTTATGGTTAGGTTTTGTTGTTCTAGTTGATCTTATTTCTCTCTGTTCTTTCTGTTTTGCTCCTTCTCATTCCCTTTTCTCTTTTTGCTCTGTTTCAGTTTCTTCTTGTTGTATGCTTCCCTCTACTAACAATTCCTCTTGGTTTTTGCACTCTATTTCCCCCCTTCTCTCTTCTTCCTCATATGCTGTAAAGTGCTGATAATAGAATTGTTCTGCTTTGTCTATTGTATCTAATTTATGTCTTTTTTCCCATCCAAGTCACCAATATTCCCTCAGTATTAGCCATCTAAAGTTTACATTATGTTTTATTAGTTGTCTTGTCAGAAATTGATACTGTTTCCTTGTATCTCTTACTCTTCTGGGTATTTGTTTCAGAACTGCTGTTTGTCTCCCTTTGTATTTCAATGGTATGTCTCTTGCTCTTTGAAGTATTTCTTCTCTTATTCCCTTCTTTGAAAATCTCACATGTACCCCTCTGGGAAGTTTGTTCCTTCTTGCATAGCTTGTATATATTCTAAATATTTCATCAATCCCAGAGATGACTTCCTGTTTACTCTTTTCCAACACATCTGCCAACAATTCTGCCATTATTTCAGCAAGATCTTCTCCTTTTTCCTCCTCAATATTCTGAAATATCAGAAAGTATTCTGCTCTATCCATCTCCAGCATAATTATAGATCACTCAAGCTCCTTATCTTCTTAGTCAATCTGTAATCGATGTCTTCTACTTTCTTATCTGTTTGTTCTGTTTTCTCTTCCATTTTCTGAATCCGTTGTTCATTTTTAGTGATTATTTGCTGGATGTTGTCTATTTTATCCACCATCTTTTGTTCCATCTTTTGCATCCTATCTGCCAAATCATCATGATTCTTAGTCATGGCTTCTTGTAGTAATTGGAACATGGTTTTCATCTCTGATTGAAAAATATTTAACTTTTGTTCTGCAACATTCTGCAGCATTGATTCACTGGGCTCGATGCTACTACTCCTGCTGCAGATGATGCATTTTTTTCTCCCTGTTTTACTTAAGTTTGTATTGCTTGTCATTTTAATAATTTTAAGTAATAGAATATTTTAAGTAATAATTATTTGACAAAGGCAACCAATTAATAATCAAGCAATCAATAATAAATCAAACAGTACAATACTCCACAATGCCCAACTTAAAGAATACACCTGAAGTAGTCCAACAATTTCCTTTCTTATTCCCAGTTCTTGTTTTCAGACCTCAAGTCACTTCAATCTTTTAGCTGTTGTATTTCACAAAGCCAAGATATCTGTAGTCCAAAATTCTCTTCAAAAAGGTTGTTTTCTTTTTGATAAATTGTAATCCACAAAGGTCCAACCCCATAATTTGTTGTATCAAACAAATTATGAATCACCAAAAAGAGCAGAAGGATAAAAGTCTCCATTTGCTTTATAAACAACTTCTATTATAAAATCCATATCCAGTCAAAGAGTTACAGTGTTTAAAACTTACATGTTTCCACACTCTTTCTCTGCAGTTCTCTCTGTAAATAGTTCCCAGGTGCAGGCAATTTATCTGACTCTTGTAACAATGTTCTTTCAATAAACTGCCCACGGTCAATTGTTAATCTCAATTTCTTTTCTTCACTTTCACTATAACAGTTTTTTTCCAGCCAGAGGTGTCACTGTTGCTCTATTTCTCTTTTATTCCTCTCCTTTAATGTCCTTTAACATAAGCCAAATCTTTTTCTTTTAGGGGTTCCAGAATCCAAGATTTATATTTGAAAAAAGTCTTAGTTCAATAAAATCCAATTAATATTGTCCTTAGAATAACCAGTCCAATTTTCCTCTTTTAACACTTATTTCTCCTAAATAATTCAAATAATTCAAATTTCTTATTTGGAACTATTTCAGCTTTGTGCTCATTCACCTCTATTCTCAGGGAGTGGAAGATAGACAAATCCACCCTCTTCTTTTACAGTTCCAGTGTCACTCAAACCAGTTTTAAAAGGGGCAAATTCCTCAACAGAAGTTGGAAAATTCTCATCCAGTTGCCACACTGTTCCTCTTCAAACTTCACTAATTCTCCTCTGGTCGGGCTGTCACAGCCTTGGTCAGTCACACAATCGCCTTCTTTTTCTTCCTGCCAGATTGAGAGCTTTTCTCTGGATCAAACAAGGACTTTGCAATCTCCTTGTGATTAATGGAGAGTCCCAGTGGTGGGCTTCAAATAATTTAACAACTGGTTCTCTGTCCAGTTACTGGGGGGGCATGGCCATGGCCTAGTCAGCCTTCTGCACTATCCTGGGAGTGAAAATGGACTGTGGCGGGACTTTTTTCCACCTCCCCGGGCTCTGGAGGCTCTCCAGAGGCCAGAAATAGGCCCATTTTCACCTTCCATGATCCACTGGGAGTCCCGTTTTCCACCTCCTTGGGCTCCACATGACCCCTGCACTGCTGGAATCCAAAATGGGCTGCGTGGGGACTCCTGGGAGGGGCAGGGTGGGGTGGAGCGGGGCCAGCTAATCATCAGAACTACCAGTTCACCGAACCAGATGTAAAATTAACATTTGGTTCACCCGAACTGGAGTGAACTGGCTGACACCCACCCCTAGAGTGTCTTCTCTTCTTCATCACCCCTCCAGGGTGGCTTAGGTATCTGAGAACCCTCTGGCAGAAGGAATTTGGCAAACTTCCATAGAGCCCTATGGAAAGTACACCATATAGCCGCAACATCAGCTCTACCTCTCAAAGAATAGTTTTTTTTAAATGTCACTTTAAAATTGCTAGTCATTTATAATCATAAAAATCAGAAAGTTTTAGCCACCTACAGCAAAGAAAACCAACCTACAAATTACTACAAATAATAAACTAAAATCACAACTTTTTGCCTTTATATTTCTCCATCAGCTTTTTTTCCCTCCACACTTTCTTATTAGAAGCCTTAGCAGCCTTCTTCCTTGTCTACCACTGAAGAAATCCCTCAAATGGTGCAGGTCTTCAAAAAGGAGTAGCAAGCTGTGACTAAAGAGACACTCTTTAACTTAGTAAAGATTAATAGTCCTTAAAGGTGATTAAGAAATGAAAGGCACAACTTACTGTCCATTTGGAAAGTAAATTTCAAAACAGCTGCTTCTTCAATGACAAACAGATTGCAGCCATCGCAGTTGCTTTGAAGCGCAGCTCCTGAAATTACTTGCAGACCTCAGCTGTATTGGAGGATCTTGAGGGTAATTTTAAGACTCTCCCTAAACCAGGAGAGTCATATAAACTGAAAGAATGCCAGTTCCTTCTGTTAGTAGTTGAAGAGCTACAGCCCAGGGAAAAACCCTTGAGAGATCCCTCCCTGGGTGTGAATTCAGTTGGCCATCTTCACTGGAAGTGATCTTAGACTGTTTCTTCACTATGATTTCTAGTATCATCCACTCAGTTGTATTGATATATAATAATAGAAAGGCAGACAAGATTTATATGGTTTTAGCAATAGCTGAGAGATAGTATAGATTACAGGTAAAGAATTGGCCTGAATTGTATAAGGGATATCCAATTTTCATGAAGACCAATAGTTTAAAAAATGCTTATGAAATTGCTGCAAGAATTATCTTCATAATTTGCAAGGGTCTCTGCATCTTTCCACTGCATTTCTGAGTCCAGAATTATCTTGGATTCCCAACTAAAGGTACCACTTTTTAGTAAAAAGAGTAAAGAATATAGGTGCTTCAAGCAATGGCAATTATTTTATTAAATAATGACTTTAGTTGTTGATATAGAGTAAATCAGTGTTTCAAACATGGCAACTTTAAGATATGTGGATTTCAATTCCTAGAATTCCCCAGCTAGCAAATTGACACACCTTAAAATTGCCAACACAATTATGAAAGTTAATATAAGATTTTTAAAAACCCACAAAGTTTGAAATTACAATAATGTACAAACAAAGCATTAGTAAAATCAACATAATCTCTTGTAAATATGGCCCTGCAAACTACTTCTTCATAACTCAGTGCATGAACCCTAAGGAGGACTAACCATTTCCTACTAGTTATATTATGAGGAGAGGGAATTTATAATTACTAGTAACCAAGAATGCACACCACAATAGGGTATAGATCATTATGTTATTGCATGAATAAACAGTCATACTAGTAGGCTCCTTTTTATAATTCAGTAAAACTACTGAAAATACATTCTTGAAAATGGAACAAGCTCAATGATTTGTTCTCTTATTTCCAGGTGATGCACTGTTGGCGCTCTGGAAGGTAGAGCGGTGCCATTTAAATGAGATTATTACTCTGGCACTGAAGTGTAGTTTCAGCATCCAACAAGAATATGGTGTTCGTGATACTGAAGTGGGACTTGAGCTACGAGTGAAAATAGGTACCACCCCCCTCAGTCTAGAACAAATTTGGAGCCTATTTTTTTATTTAAAAAAGCTACAAAACAATGTATGTTAATTTCATCCTGCGCTGAGAGAAACAGAAGCAAAAGGAAAGTTGCCAAGATGGCTACAATACAAATTAATATTCCCTTTCATCAATACTTAGGGTCAGAAGTAAAAAAATAATGGAACTGTACTTTTAAAAATGACACAAAGATTAGTCCAAAAACCCATTATATGTTATCAGCAGAGATAAAATTTCATTAATAATTAAAGTATTTCTAAGTACATATAGGTTGTGGAATTATTTCATTTTCAACTCTCCCACCCCCATTTTATTTCAGTATGCTGTAGTTAGGATCTCTGTTAAAGGAATTGAATCTTTTCTCAGGACTCTCTGCAGGTCACATCTCAAAAGTTGTCATTGGTGATAACAGACGACAACATTTTGTGGTAACTGGTCGAGCAGTGGAAGAAGTACGGTTGGCCCAAAACTTAGCCAAAGCAAGTGAAATTATCCTGTCCCCCAACTGCTGGGAGCTCTGTGATCGGAACTTAATTGAGGTAGAAAAAATTAAAAATGAACGAGCTGTCAAGGTTGGTACCTTCTTGGTTAAGAGTCCATTTTGCTTTCTGTGATATTGTTTTGTTTATAAAGGGTTGATTTTAAACACTAAAAGTGACATGATAATTTTCACATAAAGGATTGGAATGAGATTTATTCCATCTACAAATAATGTCTGTATTTTGGTACTATGTTTGCTTTTGACAAATGTCCATTCCTCACAACAGAGAAATGCCCACTACCTTTTTGCCAGCTTTTCCACATATTAAACTTTTTCTATCCCTTTTCCACATTTAGTAATTTTAACATACATAAATTAATTTGCTCATTTTTAAATTTATATATAGTTTGTAATCATTCACTATTTTAACACAACTGCTATGCACTTTAATATATCAGTTTTTAGAACCCTTGCTTTATCACACAGCCTATGTAACTTTCACTTCAAATCATTTGGGCTCTCAGGCAACAACGGGCCATCATCTGAATAAAAAGTAAGTACATTTATATGTCCCTAATCTATTTCTAATATCATCACTGACATTCCTTTTTCATTTATCCACAAATACAAAAAATAATCAATGATATATATCTTGACGTACTTTCTGTGATATTCAGTCCTTCCACTTGTATCTTCCACTTGTACCATCTGATATCACTTCCAGCCATTACAAGACCAAGTGACAGATGGAAATTGGGCCTCCTGCCCAAAAGAGGCATTAAATTGTCTGTTACATTGGGTAGCTAAGAGAAAAATGCAAAGGCGTAAAGAAAGACAATATAAATAAGTTTTGCTTCTAAAACAGTGTAGGACTTAGAATCCTTTTCTTATGACGTTTCTTTTTTTAAAAAATTGACCTATCTTCAATGGACACCATTTATCAAAGCTGTAGTGGGGAGCAGTCGAGTCTTCAAAGAACACAGCAGTTTTATGTGCCCAGAAGGAGTCAACATTCTGACTTCTGGGAGCCAGTAAAGAAAAGAAGGGATATGATGTATAGGAATGACCTTGGGAAACATAGAGAAGAGTCATGGCCTCAACATCCATCATGTAAAGGTAACTTGACCCAAATAAACAGAAAGGGATCCTCCTGAGGTTCCTAAAAAGTAAAAGGGGGGAAGAAATACTTAGACTTAGAAATAATTCAGTCTTTTCAGTTTTCCCTTTGAGGAAAACAAGGCAAGATGGACAAACCATGAATACCAACACTACCTTTATTATTATGAGGTTATAGTAACATAATCATGCAAGTCTGAAAGTAGAGAAAGAAGCCGCAATCATAAAGATCAATTTCTTTGTTGAATGTATATATTTATTAGCTGATAGACTGAAGTAGCGTGTTTATTTGCATATGCACACTGACCAAACTGTTTAATTCCAAAGAAAAATATAAAAGACAACATTACATTCATAATGCAACCAAACATATAAATAGAAATAAGAAATCTGCACTTATCTTCTTAGATGCAAAAAAGCCTTTGATAATTTACAATGATAATTCATATTGGCAGAACTAAATAAAATGAATATCAGGAAAGAATTTCAAGCTTGGGTTAAAAGTATATATCAAAGATTATGACCAATTGAGCAATTTCTGCAGATTTTTAGATCAGTCAAAGAACAAGACATGGATTTCTATTCTTTGCTTTATCTTTTATCATCATGTTAGAGATACTGTCAGACTGGACTGGACATTTCACATTACAACATTGTGAAAATAGCTTAAGAAACTGTTTTCTTTTTTTCTATCTGGAATATTAGAGTAACCTTTTGATGAAAACAATGAAAACTTTTGAACTTTATTGTATAAGTGAGAAAAGAAAGAGGTAGGGCGACACTTACTGACCAGAAAAGATATTACACCAGTTAATAAATAATGGAAAAATACAGAGACTATAAAAGCAAGAAGACATAAAATAACAACAGACTGAGTACTGATAAGAGGACAGCTGTAAAGTTATTTTGCTTGTTGCTGGGTGACAGATAGCGAGTCTATGGAAAATCCAACTCCTTGAACTTTTGTGGATTACAAATACAAATACTATTGATAGAGTGGAACAGTGGAACAGCTTGAAATTGTTTTGAGACTAAGTGAAATGGATTTTTGGTTTGCTGGATACTTTGATATTGAGGCACTGGGCAATTTAGTGGGCCTTTTGGATTATAAATATTATTTTGAATTACAAATACTGACAGATGACAAGGATATAACTGCTGATCTTAAATAAAATTTCCTTCTTTTTCTCCAATAGACTGACTTTGTGGATTATAAATATAGTTAGCCTTGAGGAAATACTCTGTGATGGAATGAACTTGAGCTTTGTGATTTATTTTTGGTGCCTTCGCTTTTTAGACTACTGGAGCATTGTGGCTTTGTGGAATTATTGTCTTGTCTTCATTTAATAGTACATTTATGGGATAAGATCAGAAGGAAAAGAGAAAAATGATGAGTGTTCCTAGAATTGGAAAGAAAGCATCTCCTACGCCAAGGTTGGCTGCTTCTAGATAATCAAATCAAAGATCAATAGATGAAATGATGAAGGAACAGATTCACAATATGGTTGAGACACTAGGGAACTTTCAACAAATGATAACAAAAAATGAACAAAGGATCCAGAAAATAGAAGAGAAATCAGAAGAAGCTGAGAAAAAAGTAGACAAGATAAATCAAAAATTAACACAAGCAAATAAAGACCTGGAAGAAACAGTTATATTTTGGAGATCGAAAAGGCAGCCTACTTTCTAAGATTTCAGAATGTAGAAGAAGATAAAGAGGAAGATCTCCCAGAAGTAATAATAATAGAGTAATGGCAAGTGCCTTAGACACCAGAAAACAGATGGATGCAGAGATAGATGAAATGTTTAGAATAAATATGAGGCACAAACTACCAATATACTATACTATATAGTTCTTCCAACTCCGTAGGGACATTCTATACACCTTGGGCTTAGGCAGTTTGGTGCTGGGTAGAATTTCAATCACACAATCAGTGGAGCAATGGAGGGGAAGTTCTTTTTTTGCTAAAAACCTCAGCCAGGTCCCTGTATTCTTTGGGTATGCCTTGGGTCATCATGGTGTATCCAGGCATGCCTGTTTCTCTGTGCTCTGCCCCCCAGCCCCTTTAATTGGGTTCTTGATGGGGTTTTTCAGTGTTCTTAAATTAATCCCCAATTTTCCTACTAGGGCTTGGCTGATTAAACAGTGTGTGCACTCTGAGTCCAATAAAGTGGAGATTTTTATTTCCATGGGGAAATAAATAGCTGAGGATAAATAGTCTTAAGGGGAATGTAAGCAGCTTAATTGGTTTGCTTACCAGTGGCTCATCTTCTGGATTACTTCCAAATGAGTTTGGTTCCTCCTGCTAAGATGCTGGAGTTTCATTCCCCAAGGAAGGGAGGCGATTGAAACTCTATGTTCTCGCTGCTTCTCAAGGCGGTTTCCTTCCCACACTGGCCTGTTTTCACAGGTTTCCCCACCCCAACGGGCATTCTGGTTTCCAGGCAGGTATTTTGGAACAACATTCTGCAACTCAGTGCCCTTCCTTTCCACACTTGAAACAGGCTGAAGGCTTCAGTGCAAATGCAGTCTGTGGTTTAAATGGCTCCTGTTTCCCTTGGGGTGGGGATTTCTTCCACACTCGTCCTGCTCGGTACTGATTTCTGGCCATATTGATCTCAGCTTCTTCGGTGGTGATGTAGGCAGTTCGATGCACCTCAGTCTACATAGGCATTACAGAGGTCATCACTCAATCCTTCCTTGAAACAGCTTACTAGGATATCCTCTGGCCAGTCTACATGGCATGCGAGGTCCCGAAACTCTTTGGTAAACTCTGCCACTGATTGCTGTCCCTGTTTTACAACTTTAATGTGGTCATGTGCTTTGTGTTTGGTGAGGGGGTCCTAAATCTGTGTCATAGGGCCATCATGAAATGGTTGAAGCTCTGAAATTCTGGCATGTTGGCGTTATGCAGGGTCACCATCCACCTGGCATTGGCTCCCTCCAGGGCTAGGGTAATGACTCTTACCCAGGATCCTTGGGTTTGGAAGTCCCATCCATACTCCTGCATGTACGTGAGTACATGAAGAATCTTAGTTGTTGCAGGTCTCCATCAAATTCCACCCCAAGGGGGGGAGCCTTTCTTTCCAGTTGCAGAGCTCGAGGCTGACCTGGAATGGGCCCTGGTGTGCATGCCACTTGAGGGGGTTTGCTGGACCCCCAGTCACTACTGCTGCACCATCAGCTTGATTGGCTGCTCCCAGAGGAGAGGGTTGTTTTCTGAATATATCATTTCCAGTTCTTCTGAGGTACAGTCTATCCCTCACCCCTTACCAGTAGCTCTTCATCTAGATAATGCAGACCATGGTCTAGAAAACTGAAGTTCTGATGACAACACCAGTTTTTAAACCAGTGATTCATTTCTAAAATCCTTTGTTCCTTCATTGGATGTTGACCTTTTATTGGAAGTATAGATGAAAACACCCCTTGTGCTCTTAATTCTTTAACTTTCTTCCTTAGCTGTTCATAATCTCTTGTTATTGTTTTCAGATTCATTTTTGCGCCATTGGTTTCAACATGTAGGAGAAGAAGGGGGTAGTAATCTGTGGGGTTGATTATTTTAATAAGGTACTCAGTTACATCTTTGATTGTTGCTCCAAGGAGACTATCTGCCCCCCTCCCTTGATTGACTGCCTGGTCTGTTTCTGTTTCCCTAAGAATTGGATCTCCTATTACCAATATTAAGTTTGTTTGTTTTTTACCCAGGGAAGTCTGGAATACTTTTATTTCTGTCTCAGGAATGCTGGGTTGTGCTTCTTTTTTAGACACTATTGATGAATTGAGTGTCTGTATATTTTTTCCAGGGGGAAGCTTTGTTTATATAACTTCATGAAACTTTGAATACACTTAAATTTCATCAACAATTGCACTTCTATTGATGGTTACCTTGTTTGTGTCTTGGTGTGGGATTATGTATCCCTTTTGAGATTTACTGTATCCCACAAGTACACTTTCCTTTGAACAAGCATCCCATT